CATCTTATCAGCATTTATCAGCTGGCCTGTGAGTGTGGTGCTAAGAGAAAGGGCATATCCCAGCTCTACAAAACAACCTTTTTCTTGGCAGCATCATCAGCTGGGAAAGCTGATCTCTCTGTGTGGTCTGTCCCATCTCCCCAACCCTGAGATGCTCTGCAGTTTTCCTCCCAGAGCTTGGGAACCAGAGTAACAAACGCACGTTCCCACACACGTGCCCCGCGAGTGCCTGATGCTGGAAGCAGCCAGGTCTTCCATGGTATCACTGGCGATGCCTTTGCTGGAGATTCATCCCTGTGTGTTCCTTGAGGGATGATTTACTGCTGCTGTTTGGTTCTGGTGGTGAGACAAAATGCTTGGTGAAGATGGCAGCTCTCATTGTACGTGTCTTGTGCCTGATTATTGTCCCTTAGAATCATAGAATCATAGAATGGTTTGGGTTGGAAGGGACCTCAAAGATCATCGAGTTCCAACCCCCCTGCCATGGGCAGGGACACCTCCCACCAGACCAGGTTGCTCAAGGCCACATCCAGCCTGGCCTTGAACACTTCCAGGGATGGGGCATCCACAACTTCCCTGGGCAACCTGTTCCAGTGTCTCACCACCCTCATAGTCCTCATTAGATGTCCTTCCTGACATCTAATCTGAATCTTTTTTCTTCCAATTTAAAACCGTTTCCCCTTGTCCTATCATTACACATCCTGGCAAAGAGTCCCTCCCCAGCTCTTCTATAGGCACCCTTCAGGTATTTCCTTCTATGGAAAGAGCATATGGTGTTTGCTTTGGTTTGAATTTCTGACCACAAAAGAAACCCCAGCCTTACATGGACCTCACGTAAGTGATGTGATATAGACTGATGTAGGTCGTGCAGAATGACCTTTTGTCCATTGCTTTTCATTTTGTGGGAAGTGGTTAGTCACTGGAAGCAGCGAGGGGGGCAGCAACGTCTGCCTGTGACTTGATGGGGTTTAAGTCTTCTCTTGCATCATGCCCAGGGATGCTGATGGTACCCAGCAGAGAGGATCGTGCTGGATGGAGAGCAGGAGTGTTACCTTGCACTGGAGGGAAGGTGGGCATCGCAGCGTAGCGCTGGCACGGTGTCAGGAAGCCTGTGGCTGCCCACAGGGATAGTGCTCAGCACCATCACTCCTGCCAGTGTAATGCACTAACCCCCAGCTCTCCTGGCAACCCTGCGTGCGGTTGCTCTCCCCGTTCGCCGGGCAGCGAGGTTAAAACTTTGTCAACACGACTGAGCTGGGCTGATTTTTAAGCTGACTCAATTTTCAAACAAGCTCTTGGGCTCGGTCCCACCAGGGTGTGCGTCAGCTTCAATTATTTCCTGATAGACTTGGATCATAAACAGTGAAAAAGCCTTTGTTTAAACCATCAGACCAGCGTCCAGCTCTGCCTTTGGCACCGCGTCAGCTACATCTCTTCTTCTGGGCACGTGTTTTCTGCGATCCCAGAGCAGCTCTCGTACGCTGGGGTCAGGGCTGGGGCTGCTCAGGGGCCTCCCACAAAACTTTGGGGAGGAGCTGCAGAGGTTTTGAAGGTACCTAAAAAAAAAAAAGTGGGTTCTTGAAGCAGAAGGGTTTGTGTCTCACCCATGGGCAGGTGAAGTGCAGTGATGGGAATGAGATGTGCAAAAGCAAGGAGCTCCACCCCACAATAGCATGTCTTATGAAGGCTCTGAAATGGCTTGTTTATTTATCCTAGTGCTAAATTGGGGCATTTATCTACAGACCAGTGTGGAAAAGACCATACTTTTGTGGCTGGCTTATACCCTTGTGCAGTACCAAGACGGGAAGATGCATGAGTTGCTGTGTGCCAAAATCCCGTTCTCTAAATCATCTTTTAAAACCTCAAACCAGAAGTAGCCCAGTACCTGCAGGGCTTGTGAGTTGAGCTTGCTAGTGAATAAAAAAGGGCTGAAAGAGTGGCCTGGTTGGGATGACCGTGTGAAGGATGAGCTGGCTGTGGCCACTGATGTAAAGAGATAAGGATTAATATATACTTTGCCCTACTCTAGCATCGTTCCTTGGAGCCCTTGATGTGCTGTGTCAGTGTTGATGGACGATTTGCTGCGTTCTCTGAGGGGATTTTTTGGGGCTGAATTTCTCAGAATTTGGCTTGATGTGAAGTTCAGGTCTGAGCTTCCACCCACCATCTGGACACACTGCTCTGGAGGTCTGGCAGCTGCGCACCAAGGGCTGGCACGAGCATGTTGCATGGGGAAAAAAAAATCTCTCATAGGAGAGAGAAGATGGTCCTGACACATTTGTACCAGCAAAAACTCGTTTCTTTTACTTTCTCTGCTTTTTTGCCATATTCGTCTTGTGAATCATTTCACTTTCCCAACAGTTTAGTTGTCAGGATAATACTGGAGACAATTTTAATTGTCTCTTTCAGGATTATATTGGAGGCAATTTGCAGCGCTGAATTGCAACACGGTGGCTACTTACTCCACAGCATTTGAGCATCCTGTTTCTTTTTCAACAAGAGTTTTTCCACGCAAGGCAGGGAGGGCTCAGAGATGGAAAAACCCCGGTGCAGCGCTGAGGGTGGACACTGTCATTTCAGGGGCTGGTGAAATCCTTTGTAAGGGTGACAGCTAAAAAAAAATAGATTAAATGAAAGCTGATGGCACAGGGCAGCTTGCTGTGGGTATTATGTAAAGGTAAAAATTTTAAAAAAATATAGGGTAGGGGTCAATACTCTGTTTTCGTCTCGCATTGGGGATGTTGGTGACAGTGAGGAAGGTGTTGCTGGCAGGGAACAAATGGAGAGCAGTGACAGGGAGCAGCCTATGCTGTTGCCTTCCCAAAATGTTTTGAGGCTTTAATTTATGGATGGCTACAATGTGTTTCCAGACCTTCCAGCGGAAAACATGACATAAAACCTTCTCTCTCATTATGTTTTCTGTGTTAATTTGACAGGCTGAGCCTCCTAGGGTTCATCCATCCCCAAGCCTAGAGCAGCAGATATTTCTTGCCGCAAGGTCACCAGCAGGAGGGGGGATTTCGACATGCCTGAGGTTTAGCATAGGCTGATGTCCCACTGAAATTTGCGGGATTAAAACCCTTATTTCAAGTTAAGCATGGTGATAAATGAGGTGTTGAAAAGTATGGGTTTAAATGTGCTCTTAAACCCATATTTCCTCCTCCGCAAACTGGGAAACAGGAGGTACGGCCGTCAAACGCTTGTGGAGCTCAGATGTCAACTGGCTCCTGACTCGAGTTGTTTCCAGCTCCTGCTGATGCAACGTTTTCTGTACAGCGTGTCCTTCTGGTGTCTCTGGGTCTGGAGTTTCTACCTGAGCTGCTGAAATCACCAGCCACCTCGTGCCTGATGGAGGGGATGCGCGCTGGTGCCGTCACTTGGCTGCCAGTTTGAGCAGCTGGAGCGTCCCCCCTGAATTAAATCGGCTTTTGATTAATGTTAGTTACTGCGTAGGCACCTGGACATTCTGGGAATAAACTGCCCTGATTTCTCTCAAGGCTTAGTGTCTCCCAGACTGGATTGAACAGAGAAGCTTAAGACCACAAGTCATATGCTGGTATTTCTGCTCCAGCCATCTGCAGATACACTCTTTCTATCCTGGGTTTGTGGGGTTTCTTTTACCCTGAGAAAAACCTGCTGTAATTGTTTCCCTGCACACCCAGAGGTGATTTGTCAAAATCCCTATTGCTCCTTGGTTAATTCAATATTTATAATGTCTTTATAAGGCCGGTCTCGCTCTGCTGACTTGGAGGGGAGGTGGGAGAACATATCGCATAAATCAGGCTGCACGAAACGTGCAGCTCCCAGCTCTGCCGGGGCACTCAGGCTCCAAGGGAAGATGTGAAGGCAGCAGTCATTGGGTGTCCAGGCAGAGAAGATGCAGCATCTTCCTCAGCATCCCTGCCCAGCTCATCCCAGCACACAGCAAAATCCTCAGCAATCAGCGTGAATGAGGAGCAGCAGCAAGCTGAGCCCAGGCTGATCGCTTATTTTAGGGCTTCCTATTTAATTTCTGTGTCTTCTCTAAGATGTTTCATGATGCAGCAGTTTCATGAAACCAGGTAGATGCCACAAATTGTTACATCTTGATTTTTTTTAATCATTATTGTTTTTTAGATCAGGTTAATCTCTGCTTGGGACCTTTCAGAGAGCAAGATGGGCAGGCAGGGCATCTGCCTGGCAGGGCAAGATGGGTGGTTTACATTACTGGATATCACATCGTGCGTTAGTCTGTAAAGATCTTGAAATGAAACACGATTGAATCATCCAGATACTGGTATTTGTATTTTGTTTTATTTTTAGGAACTAAAATTTCTAGAACCAAACTCTTAGAAACTTTCAGAGTTAAAGTTTTCCAAGCCACTATCCTTTCGCCTGCAAATTTTCATCAGAATTGAGAAGACTGTGCCAAAATCTCCAATTTCCTTGAAAACTTTTTTTTTTTTCCTAATAAATATATGCTTTGAGAGTTTGATGTGCACTCTTCCTGAGATCTCCATCAGCTCACAAAACCTCTTAGTGTTTGCTCCACTGTAAAGCAGTTTTGATGGTAATGTATGGGTTGTTTGGTGTATTTAGCAATCTCTGTAAAACGTCAGTGCTGAAAGCTATTGTGTGCTGTCAGATGATAACGGTGCTGCTGCTGAAGGAATTGCAGAGACACGACCCTGCTGTGTGGATCCCCTGAACCCCAGGAGAGCAGCCAAGAAGGGTCCTTGTTATCCTTAACCAGGTGGGGCTCATGCACCCCTGTGTTGGCTCTCCAGCAGCAATGTCCATGGGGGTGCAGGACAGGGTGGCCCTTGGTGAAACGCCCTGTCCCTGCAGCATCGTAGCAATCGGTGGGGTTTCTTTTTCACAATTCCTATACATTTTTTAGCGTGGTCCCTTATGACTTGCCAGCTTCTAGCAGGGAGCTCCTCTGGGGTATTGGAACATCCCACAGGCATCACTGTAACACTGCAAACATCTTACCTGGCATCCCTCCTTTGTCTTTGCAGGAGGGGGACTCCCTCGGGGCCATGGAGAAGCTTTGCCGGCAGCTCACCTACCACCTCAGCCCCCACTCACAGTGGAGACGCCAGGGCATCATGAAGAGGAAACCACAGTCCTGGTGAGTCGGCTCTCAAAAGCTGCTGTCACCCTGCTGGGTCACTGTCCCCTCACTGGTCTTTGTGTCCTTGGACCACCCTCAGGTTCGGGAGAGCTGGAGGGGGGTTTTTCCAGGATGCTTTTGGCCGTGGTGTGCTGGTGGGAGCTGCCTGTTGCACACCTGCAGCAACAGGAGGAACAAATCCACCACAGAGATGGAAAGCTCTTAAAACCATTAGCCAGGGCTGCGTGGGAGCCGAGAGGTCAAAACCTTCTCAGCTTGCCACAGCTTCCAAAATCCTCAGTTGTCTCCTGTCTCACTAGTGTTTCCCCTGTGCACAGTTGTGTTATCAGGTTGCTTTGTGCTCACCCAGAGTTGTTTTCCTCCTTTTCCATTTTCCTGGTTGCAGAGAATAGCCCAGGGAGGGGGAATGGGCTGGAAAACCTGAACCATCCATCCCACAAACATGCCCATGCTGGGCATCGGAGAGCAGGAGACAAACTGCTCCAAGACATCCTAATTAGCTGGCAATTAATGTGTAGGCACATGTCACCGTGCACACTCACTGTGGCTTGCAGCATGTTTGCCCGAAGGGAAATGTTTGATTAAAAATAGAGAGAAAATGACCCCGAGTCCCCAGCGAAGTATCCCAACTACCAACATCTTGGATCCATGGTGTTAGAAGACCCATGGATGAGACCGATGGGAATGGAAAGGGCTTCTGGTTTTCTGTGATGTTGTGCATTATATCTTTATTATTTTTGTTAAGGAAACAAGAAATACAAAAGAAGCCACAATCTGGCAGAGTCAGGATTTGTATCCAAGTGCTGGCTTGTGGTCCCAAGAGAGTTTTGATTCCTGTTGGAGCAGATGCTGTTTGTAGCCATGGTGGAGACTAATCCCGTGAAAAAACTTAGTCTGAAAAAAAGAGGGGAGGAAAATAACACAAGAGGAAAAGAGGCACAAGGCAATAAAGGACTGCATGGCCAATTAGTATTAGGACCATGTCTCCTGGGGATCTGGCTCAGCATCCTTGCACCCTGTTGTGCTTAGAGACCCAAACATGCAGGGACACCTCTGTTCCATTAGCAGTAGCAACTGTACTTTTGTGTGTTGAGCATTTTTAGGATGTATTGATGAGTAAAATTTGCTCTTTCCCAAAAAGCATCAGAAATGGAGGGAGTATGCTGGGGCTGTGTGCTGCTCCCTGTGCGCCGGGCTCGGCACACGGAGATGGAAAATAACCCGGGAGCTCAGTTATCCTGGTGGGTTTTTTCTTAATTAGAATAGGAAGTGCACACCCCTTGTCATCCCATCAGGGCATTATTAAAGTTACACTGATGTGGCAGCGGGGAGCTCTTCACAGCCCAAAAGACAAGAAATTCTTGAAAACTAAAAAATTTAAAGCAGTGCTTTGTGCCACTCTGTCTTTAATTACCAATGCTTGTCCTTAATTATCAGCTTGGAGGGGTTATGTGAGTGTGTCCGTGTGCCAGAGATCTGTGAGGCTTTATCTTACAAGCCTGCCATAATGCTTCCCTTTCCTTGGACAAGCTGGGAAATAGCTGAGGTTTTTCATGGTTTTAATAGCAGGGGTGAGGTTTCGGCTGTAAATGAGCCCTGACCGCACAGCAGAGACCCCGGGGCTGTGAAATGTGGTGCTGGCTGCCACGGAGTGGGTTTGTAGGATGGGGTTTGCCTGGGTTTCTGGTTTAGATGCTCGTTTAGGAAGTGGCTGTGAGCTGAAGCCAACCCTTTGCTAGGAGTTGAAGTCAACAAGGTCTAAATGACTTCATGTAGAGAATGTATAGAGAATAGAAAGAGTATCTGTTTTGTCTTCCCTGTGCTTGAGCACCCACTGCTTTATTTGTGCACCAGCAGTTACCCCATTAGGGATGCTCCTGATCTGCTGTGTGCGTTAATTGGTGGGTAATTCCTTCCACAGCTGACAACCAGTGGGTGTTTCTCCAGAGCCCCCCGCTCTGGGTTGGTGTTTGCAAGTGCCCTGCGATGCCTCCAGAGGAGTAATGGGTTCTCGTTCCCAGGTGTCGGCGTTGGTTTGACCCAGTCCTGCTGTCAGATGTTGCAGAAACTCACAAATATTAAAAGTTTCCACACTTTTTTAATGTGTCTACTGGCCATCTGCTCTATTTTGGGCTGTAATTAGTAGTTGCTCAAATGACCAGGGAGGTACAGACCCCCTCTTTGCATCCATCTCTTTGCAAGGAAAAGAGCTTCGGCTTGGTGCAGTGATAGCAGAGAGACTTTGGTTAGTGGAGAAGGAGAGGACAGGCCCATCTTATCAGAAATAAAAACAAAGCCTGTGGGACTGTTTTCCCAGCTCTTTCTGTAGCTGGTTTTATCACGCCACATCTTTTACAAACATTTTAGCAGGGCCTGTTGTGATAGGACAAGGGGTAATGGCTTTTAAGCTAAAAGAGGGAAGATTTAGACTAGATAAAAGGAACAGATTTTTTTACAATGAGGGTTGTGAAGCACTGGAAGAGGTTGCCCAGAGAGGTGGTAGATGCCCCATCCCTGGAAACATTCCAGCTCAGGTTGGGCAGGGCTCTGAGCAGCCTCATCAAGTTGAAGATGTCCCTGCTTATTGCAGGGGGTTGGACTAGATGATCTTTGGAGGTTCTTTCCAACCCAAACTATTCTGTGATTCTATGATTCTGTCTTTCCTTGCGTTCTTTCTTTTCGTTTTCTTTCTTTCTTGTTGGAGAAGTAATTTTCTCACTCTCCTGCAAGGAGTTTGGGGTCAGAAAGGGACAATTTGGAGTCATCCCCTGGCCTGTGTTGCAATCTGCCTGGAGGCTCCATCGGTGGGAAGCACATAACCACGTGCTTTGGATGTGGAAACCTGGTCTCTCGTCGTCTGCACAGTGATTCTTGACCTTGTAATGAGTGCTTTGGCTCTGTCCCTGGTTCCCTGTGATAATTAGGAATTGCAGCACAACAGCAGGGATTGGTGCAGCCTGTTGTGGAGAACTCCTGCTCTGGAGCTGTGGAGTTACTCAAAAATACTTTGTTAATTAGAAATCTATATCTTTGTGATGCATTGTGCTCCTGGGTCCCCTCTGCCAGAGACACACTCATTAGTGCACTGACTCGTAACAAGCAGAAGTACACACATCGTAATTTGTGCTGTGGCTTCATTAAGAGGCATCATTTCTCTGGGCTCACGGGTGCACCCATCTCCTGGTGCTCCACAGTCCCCTGTCCCCTGCAGCTGGGTTAGATGTGCTGGAAGGGCTTGGGAAGGAATTGGAGTTCAATTATTCCTACAATTGGGAGCAGTGAGGAGTGCATTTGTAGGAGATGGATGTGTTACTGCAATGCTGATCCCTCTCTTTGATCAAGAGGTTTCTCCTGTTATGGGATCAAGGGGGTCTCAGCCACTAGTAGGATGCTTCTCTCTTCTTGGTCAGGGCTTGTGAAGGGGTGGGGACCTCCTCAGACACCCACAGTCAAATTTTTAGTGGGATAGCATCCTTTCTTCACTAAATGCCTGTTGGCATTCCCAGGGAGCAGTGGGGGTTGTAGACGCAAGCAGTGGGGACCAGTCCATCCCAGGACCCCCTGGTACCTCTGCTGAGGTCTCACCGGGGTGGTGAGAGAGCGCCCTGCACACTGGCACAGCTCGACCCAGCACCAAGCAAAGCCAAATAACTCTGATTAGTCTCCCCAGAAATGTGGTGGAATAACTACAAGGGAAAATTGCTTTTCTTTATTCCACAACTGCTGTACTGGTTACAGGTGATAATGGGAAGCAGAGCAGCCAGAGGGGGAGGATGGGGACAGATGATGGAGAGGATTGGAGCTGATTTTTTTTGGGTCGGTCGTGCTCTGGCCAGGCAGCCTGCTGCGTAGGCAGAGGGGGTGACTGGTGCTTTCCTTTTCCATGTTTCCATCTCACCCCAGGCATCGCATTCAGCGTGTTCAGGGAAAGAGCCAAATCAAGGGAGCAGCTCTCAGCGTTGGCTGCCCTGCTCCGCTGTGCTGCCTGGCACCGGAGCACCCAGTCCTGTGCCAAATGACCTTATTTTTTTGCATATTATAAATCCGTCTGTCTCGCTGTCTCCCTCCCCGCGCCTCCCTCTGAATCACATATATTTATATTAAACATTCAGGATGAAAAATCAGCGTTTTGCCTGGTCGGGCAGCCAATAGCAGGAGGATGAAACCCGCCTGCTAAAGTAATTTGTGCAGCTCTGGCTCTGCCTGGGGACACGATTACAGTCCGGCGTTTAACTAGCAAGAGTTGAATTAGATCCTGGAATCTCCCTGCTCCTCCTGCTGCCAAGCGCTTGCCTTCAGCATCACAAAGGCAAAGCTGGTAATCAAAGCTCCGTGCCTCTGTAATTGCTTTGGAGCAGGGGCTCGTGTGCTTCGTGGGGAGTGGGAGGAGGTGTTTCCCAGGGGGAAACAGCCTCCATGGCTTTGCTGTGTCTTTCCCATCCCTGGAGAGTCGTGGCCAGTGCATTGCCTTTAGTTGCTGCTCTGCAGAGGAGCGATGGTGAGGAGCCAGGGATGCACCAGGGAGGGGATGGAGCGGTGGTGCCTGCCCTGCCGGGCTGAGCAGTGGGCAGCAGCTGAAGGAATATTGATTATTCGTATCATAACTCCAAATCTAGCCCTGTTTTACATCAGTTAAAACCCTTTTTGCACACACATCCTGTTGATGAGTGTGAAGCATGGAGGACTTTCGGGTAGAGCAGCTCAGTCTGAGCACTGGAATTACATGGGGTTCATCTGGACTTAAATACATGAATTTTTTAACACTCCCTTTCATTGCACTCTGTTGTTGCTCTGCAGCAGGGGAGAAACACCCAAAAAGGAAGCCCATGCCTGCCCTGAGCCTGGTACAGAGCTTTTGGGGGGATTCCACACTGGGGTGAGCCAATGTGGTGCTTTCTTCACTTTCCAAACCCCTTTTATGTTTTAGAGCTCCCGGTGCTTGCTCATGCAAATCCTCCCCCCAGTGCTGGGACATGCAAAAAGCAAGGCTCTAAATT